CGCCTCACTCGCCGCCGGCAAGGGCAAGGACATGGCCTCGTCGCTGATGTCGATCCCCGACCACCTCAAGGCGGAGATCTTCGTCCGGCTGCCTGAACCAGAAGATCTCGCCCGCACAGCTGCCACCTGCGTCACATTCCGCAGAGTCGTAGCCGACGGATCCTTCCGCCGCCGCTTCCGCCTCCTCCATGCCCCGCCCCTCCTCGGCATCCTCGATCGCGACGGCTTTCATCCCGCCCTCCCGCCTCACCCCTCCGCGCCAGCCGCCCGCGCGCTCGCACACGCCGCCGACTTCTCCCTCTCCTTCCTCCCCTCCCACCGCCGCTGGACCGTGCAGGACGTTCGCGACGGCCGCGTCCTCCTCGCCGCCAACCCTGATCCCCAAGTGTTCACGGAGCTCGTGGTGTGCGACCCCTTGCACCAGCGGCACATCCTGCTTCCCCAAGTGCCTCATGACCTAGCTGCTTCGCTGGAGTTTCCAGTCCATATGGTACACCGGTGCCAGCTTTTAATAGCTTCCCCCGGAGCAGGCGAGAATGAGGCAGCTGCAGCCATGGAAGAGGCGGCAAGGGCATTCATAGTGGTCATGATAGCACATTGCGAAACTGGTCCGGCTGCCTTTGTCTTCTCATCGAGCACCCGACAATGGCGAGCCGCTGCATCCAATGGTTGGGATGATTTGTTCCCCAACCAGGGAGAGTCAACCATGATCTCATCAATGCACAGAAAGTTGGTCGGGTGCCATTACGCTTATGGCTGCTTTTATTTGGAGTCCACAATGAATAACAAGTTGCTTGTGTTTGACACCCGGAGGATGGAGTTCTCCATCCTCGACGTCCCATGCGAAACATCGAACATGTTCGGTCTAGCCATTGTGGAGGCAGGAGAAGGCAGGCTCGGGATGTTGGATATCCATGATGAAACTTTAGGTGGCAAATGTGATCTCTGTTATTACATTAGAGGAAACAGAGGTGAGAATTCTGGCCAGTGGAAGATCGAGAAGACAATATCACTACCTTATGATTATCAGTACTATATCCAAGCTTCAACTAAGAGGTACTTGCTCCTAAGAAAGCTTGGACCCCTGCAGTCCATAAGCTCATCTCTGGAGGTGGAATATGTCTCAATGGATGTCAAGACATTGCAGCTTCAGAGGGTTTGTGGTGTATCTTTCGGGTATAGCTTGGCCAGCGAGCGCATATACACCAACTTCCCTCCATCCTTGTTGTCTGCACCGACAATATGAAGTGGTAAATTTACTATTGCATCCTAGTTATATCCTCCCCTTCATAGTTAGCACACAGCTTGCCTAATGCTTAATAGTTCATTATTGTGATTGATCATTCTGGTTTATACGCTTCAGTTGTGATTATTTAACTTGTGCTTGTGGGAAAACTAATCAATCACAATAATTTAATTGTGATTTGTTGTTTTATTTGTTCTAATCACTTTCCGGAGAAAATTGGAAAAGAGAAGATTTTTCACATAGCTTATGCATTCACTGTTATTTAGGCCTCATGAAATCACAAAAATGACAGAAGGAATATTGGTGTAGATCCAATTTTTATTTTATTGTTCCACTCAGCTCACGCAAATTCATTCCATTCAAGCACGACTCATCTTGTCTGCTTCTTTTATATATAACCATAAGGAGGCAAAAATGATTTTTTATATTTTGAGGCATCTTCACATATATAATATCTTCAATTGAATAACTATTGTGGTCACAAATAAGAGACTCACTACTCTGTATAGCAGGAATAGCTTGTGCTGCACAAGCTGTTTGATCTGAATCAGCCTCATAAGGGCGGGGGCACCCAGTTTTTCTTTTTGTTTCCATTTTAAGATAGTTTGAACTATTTCCCGTGCCTCTTTCCGAGTCTCCTAGTGAACGGCAAATATAAGCATGCAAAATTTGTCGGTTGTGGCAAGAACTCTTGATTTTTTTTCCTTTCAGAGGCATAATTTTTAAATGTTTTTTTGAAATTGACCTAGGTTAAAAGTTTGTTAGACTACTATGTAGTATACAGAGCCCTTCAAGGCTGCAACACAAATCTACCTTTTTTGCATGATCTAAGTTTTACCGGACTGAAGGGGAGCCTTGGCGCAGTGGTAAAGCTGCTGCCTTGTGACCAAGAGGTTACGGGTTCAAGTCCTGAAAACAGCCTCTTACAGAAATGTAGGGAAAGGCTGCGTACTATAGACCCAAAGTGGTCGGACCCTTTCCCGGACCCTGCGCAAGCGGGAGCTACATGCACCGGGCTGCCCTAAGTTTTACCGGACTCATTTACTTATGTTTACATGCCTCTGTCGGGCTATGTATTCCAGCTTTGCATTGCAAATTACACTGCTAAACACATAAAAGTGAAGTTTTGATGTTGCACATAAAAGTGCTCATGACTCATGTCTTCGTTGTGCTTCCTTTCAACTAATCACGTGGCTACTCCTTGCCTAATTAAGTACGTGAGACTGAAGTTTAATAGTTGTGATCATCATTTGTGAGACTATGGTGCCAACATATGGCTACAATTTAAGAAGATGTTTCTCTATGACAGTGTGAGCCTTGTCATCTATGTTTAGCATGTATACAGTGTTCACTAGGACCTGGTTAGCCGCCGGCCTTATCTCTGTTTTGTCTTGCATACGTAGGAGTATACATCAATGCATGGTTTTGACGTGACCCGTATTTAATTTGAGCATAAAGTTAACTAATGTGATTAGGCTTCAATCCAAATAATCTATGTTTTGCTCCCATCCACTCCACCATACGTTGGTGTCTACCTTTCAATCAACAAATTTTTAATTGTTTCACCAAGAGCTAAACCTACACAATTATCACTTGTATCTGAATCTGAATTGGTTGATTTTTTTTTCACTTACTTGAATGTCATTTCTATATATGTTTTAATCCTACTCTAATTTCTGGTGTCATTTTTCTATATCAATCCGTACTAACTGTAAACATTCCATCACACTCACTCTAGTTGGACTTCATATGGAGTTCCTATGGAAACCAAATTGCTATATTTATTTTTTCCTAACTTCACATATAAGATAGAAAATAAACTCCAGGCATGGATGTTGTGTTTTCAATCTGTCATATAGCAGTGTGCAGTGCACGCCTTGGTCTGCCAGACCGAAAGAGAAATATATCTGAAGTTGGAGAACACTCATACAGTGAACTGTGGTGCAGTAGTTTAGCGAGTTAGTCCATCTTAATTGCTTGCATCTTCCATTAGCATGTATAGATGTCAAGGCATGCATGTATCGGCTTTCCGTTTTTGTTTCAAACATATATGCTGATATTAGGTATATCGAAATAACTCAGCAAGTACAGAAAGTTGAAGGACTATTCCGCTCCCCCGCGTCGTCCGCTCCGGGCGACTCGGGGGCGAAAACCCTAGCCGCCCCAGGTCTCCCCCGCCTCCCCTCCTCCTCCCCCGCCGCCGCCGGCAGCCGCCCGCGCGGCAGTAGGCGGCGGCGGGGCTTCCCCGCGCACCCGCCTCGACGTGGAGACACCCCTTCCCCGCATCAGACGCCGCCGCACGCCCTGGATCGGCCCTGGATCGGGGCTGGCTCCTCTCTGGCGGCTGGTGGGCCGAGGATCGCCGGATCCGCCCGGATCTGGCCGGCGCGGCCCTGCTTCGTCGCCCGGCTTGGGTGCTCGCGGCGTGGTCTCCCTGGTGGCGGCGATGTGGGTCGTTCTCCGTGTCTTGATGGGATGTGCGCGGTGGGTGGATGCCGGGGCGGCGGCCTCGGACGGCGTGGACGGCGTGGCCTCTCGACGGGCGACGGCCGTGGGAGCTGGTGGTCCGTGACTTCGGCTGTGCGGGCGGCGAGGTCTCGGTGGACGACTACTACGGTGGGTCGGGGTGCCCCGTCACCCGGCGTGCCTGCTACGATGAAGTCCGACGCCTTCTCCGGCTGCGGGCGCTCCCCTGGCCTGTCTTTGGCCGGGTGGTTGGGAGGGGGGCGGGATCGGGGGAAACCCTTGGCCGTCGGCGGAGGCCACGACAATGGCGGCGCCTTGTGGGCGTCGATTCCCTTCTTGGAGGCCTTGTCGAGGTCCTATCCCGTCTCTCACTGTGCTTTCCATTTGGGCGTAAGCTCTAGTTCCCCTTGCGGGCGACGGCGTCGTCCCTTCGTCGCGTTCCTTCTTGAAGGCGTCGCCTGGGGTCCCCGGAAGCACGGTGGGCGCTTCGTGGTGCGTGTGAGGTGTTTGGCGGCGGCAATGTGTGCGGAGATTTATCTATTCTACCGCTGATCTTCATCCTGTGGTAGCGATCCATCTGCTTGGTGATGTTCTACCGTAGGTGGTGGTCGTCATTTGGCGTCATGGTGGCGTTGATGGCGGAGGGCCTGCCAAGGATGGCACCTCAATTTGCTTGGAGATGGTCCAGTGGAAGGTGGTGGAGACGACACTTGTGAGTGCGTCAGACCGGTTTATACCCCAGACCCGGTATGTGGCTAGGCTGGGGATTCCGGCTTTCGATGTTAGGTTTAGGTGAGTGGTCTGGGTAGGGGCCCAGCTAGCACCCCTTCATCATATGGATAGGAGTAGCGGCATATGTTGCCTAGTTGGTGGATTCAGGCTTATTGTTGTAACACTTTGTAAGGTCCTCGGGAATAATCAATAAAGTGGCCGTATGCATCTTCCAGATGCAGAGGCCGGGGGTCATCCTTCTTTTCTAAAAAAAAAGGTACATTAATTTTTTGAATCTTGGCCACAAAAATATACTGCAACACATTAGATAACTTTTCTTTTGTGGAATAACGTCATGGATTTCTTATATCCTGTTTAATAATTAATACTCCATCCGTCCCTAAATAAGTGTGGTTTTAGTTCAAATTTGAACTTAAGCCATAACACTTATTTTAGGACAGAGGAAGTAGATCTTATAAATGGCAAGACTTCTGTGACAGAACTAGCAACCAATCCAACACTTGACAAACACTATTGCAGAATCTCATTGGACTTTTTATTTATTTTTGCTTTTGCTCATCTACAATGACGCCAAACCTAGATCGCAAATAACAGTTTGAGCGGCTGCTCTGAATAGCAAGAACAACATGTGCTCACAAGCTGTTTCATTGAATCAGCCTCATAAGATTAGTTGTAGACTTCACATCTATCATCTGTGGATTGTGACTAACCAAGACACCTCAGTGGTATCTTCCTTCCGTGACCTAAGTTAGATTTTTTTAATGAAACCGACCTAATATAGTAGTCTATTACTAGAAAAAGGGAATATATGAAAAATGAGAACCCCCGGTATCACACCCCGGGGCGACACCTAGCCGTGGCGGCGGCGGGACAGCTACCAAAAGTGACGTGGGAGATTCTGGCAGCGTCTGAGTGTTGATGTCGCGGCTGGGGCAGCAGCGGCCTACTCGTCGACACACGAAGGCTGGTGCGGCATCCTCATGCCATGGTGGTAGATCCCCTCTCCGGTGGGTGGTTGGTGGCCATGCAACGAGGGCTGTGGGGCCGGTGTGCAGTTGCTCGGTTGCTCGCCGGATCTGGAGGTGATTGGAAGTTGCTGCTTGGCGGTCTTCGGTCATTTGAGGTGCGGCAGCGGGCAGCATGTGGGCTCCTGGCGACCGGACTGCGCGCGCGGGGGGGGGGGTGGCGTCACCCTTGGCTGGGGCGCGTAGATATGCGTCGGGACTCCTGATCTGGCATGTTCGTGTCCTGCCGCCTCCGGCAGCGCATTGCTGCAGGGTTTTGGGCAGAGCTAGCCTGTGGCCGCTGGAGGGCGCGGGGATGTGCTCAGGTCGAGGTTGTTGTGGTGTTAATCGGCTCTGCGTGTAGTGCAGCTGCCGGTGGCGCGTGGATGCTGGGCGGCGGACTCAGGTTTGTGATTGTTGGTGCGGCGGTGCCACGGTAGGTGCTACGTGCGGAGGTGGGCGGTGGTGGCGGTTGTGGGAGTGCCGGAGCCTCGGGTGAAAGCCTCGCTCCGCCTTGGTTGGTGCCAGTGGCAACGGCACACGTGGGTGTGGTGCCCCTCTTGTCGAGGCGTCGTCTTGGGTGCTCAGGCTCATCTCCTACCTCCTCCATTTTTGGTTCCTCCGGCTGAAGGTCGAGTTCCCGGTTACCGGTGCGGGCGACGATGGCATCCTCGTCACTTTCTCCTTGGAGGTGTCACCTTTGGAGGCCATGCCCTAGTCAGGTGTGCCTCTGCCATGTGATGCTGCCATGCGTGACGAACGGCGTGGTCGAGCCATCGACTTGTGTTGTGTGCGGCC